GAGAGAGAGAGAGAGAGAGAGAGAGAGAGAGAGAGAGAGAGAGAGAGAGAGAGAGAGAGAGAGAGAGAGAGGAGGCAGCAGGCGGCAGGCAGTTATGACATGCATGAGGGGAACCAAGCCCATGAGGAAGCAGGCAGTTTGCAACTGGAGCAAAGGTACAAATTCGTAAACTACTAAACTTTCAGACGTCGGTGCAAGATCGAAATTGCTAACTGTTGCAGCATACGATAACCGGCTGTCAAAAGTTCGGGGTCCAACAGTTCGCTGTCCTCGGCTACCGTCTTCTCCCGAACACAACGCACCCTTATTTTGGCTGCATCTGGCCGGAAATATAGCTTGTATACATTCATTTTTCGGGTGCGTTATCTTCGGGGGAAGGCGGTAGGAGCACGGCTGGAGTCAGCAAATGCCAGATCCTATTCTGAGCCTCGGAATCCTAAAACTTCGAACTCTGTGTGATGTGTTGGATAACACATTGCCGCACCACACACAAAGTAATACTCCTAGACTGGACTCCGAGCACACAATTTTTCTCTTTTAATTTCAGACCGAGTTCCGGGACCAGAAGGCAAACTACCGGTAGCTGGCGATATTCCCAGGCAAATCTTTGACACAAAAAAATGAGGCGTCAAATTTGGCATTTCGCCAATTCAGGCCACCCTGCAGACACAGAATTAGATACATTGGGCCTCGTTCCACCACTCACTACATGCAACAGAAGACAAAAAAATATGGCGGTGTATACTACTTTAATCTTGCAGACGATTCATTCTCATTTATGATTTTTCGTACGTGGCGAGTAGTGTGGGGCGAGGCCCATTGCCTCCAGCAGTGTAGGTAACTGACACGACCGGGCAGTGTTGGAGGGGGCGACTTGTGCTTCGTGGACATAAATCATGCATGTGGAGTGCAACAGATATGATAGAAACACATGCCATTATCAGCTGTCATGACGCCTCTCATTTACTCTTCATATCGTCAAATGAATTGTCACCGTACGGTTTCAATTTGATCCCATAACCTAGGACAGCAGCTTGCTTCTCCCACTAGAAGAGGGTTTATTTCTCCCCCCTAGAAAAGGTTGCACTTCTAACACTAGAAGGCAGTTTCCTGTCGACATTAAAAGGGGAATCGCCTTTTACCTATATCCGGACTGACATAACAATGCGCCGTGTGGAATAGAGCCTGTCTCTGCAGTTCATTCTACGTACTTCCCTACTCCATCTGGGCCGTCTGTGCAATCGGAACGCACAGAATCATCTGCTTACAGAACACACAGTCTGGTGCTCACCGACCACACACATACGCATTGGAGGTTTTGCACTATACCTTGTTGGATTTGATTTCAATTTCGTTACATATCTGTACCCCTCCTACAGAGTACGACCCTTTGCTCTGTACAACCAATCCACCATTTGGGGGGATACATCACTAAAGAGTACAGTGAAAGACAGAGATCCAGAGACAGGGAGAAGGGAGGGGATGGAGGGAGGGGGGAGAAGCCAAACATGCATAACTTAGTCTTAACATGTGGAATCTGTTCAATTTCAATGTTTATAACACTCCATACTTAAAGCACTCAACATTTGCACACACACACACACAC